AGACAGGTGATTACCATAAGGGGATGGGCACTGATTTAAGGTTTGGGTTCGGACATGACAGATAGGTCGGATCCGGAGATCCGGAGATGTGGATATCAGATCAGGTGTCCGGATATCAGATGCAGGAGTACAGGGATCCGGACGGATAGAGGATTGGGTCTGGAGACATGGACAGGAGGTCCGGAGGTCCGGATGAGGTGTGGGAACGTCGTCGGATGTTGGTCCGGAATGCGGGATATGACAGATGTCCACCTCGTTCCACCCACAATTGGACGGAGCAACCGAACGCGCCAACCGCACTATCACTCAAATGCTTAGACAGATGGTATCGCCGAACCAGAAGGATTGGGCTATTAAACTACCGGCTATCGAGTTTGCAATTAACTCAGCCTGCTCGGAAACTACTAAGTACCCACCGTTCATACTAAACTATGGTCGCTTGCCGCCACCCTTAGTGTGGAACACTAACTCTGAGTTCCCTGGTGTCCGCGTATTCGCCCAGCGAATGAAGGACGCAATCATGAACGCCCACGACTCGATCATTTCCGCTAGAGTCAAGAACACCACGGTCGCCAACCGTAAGCGAGTAGAATCCCCTTTCATAAAAGGGGACCTCATCTACCTGTCTACTGAGAATCTCGCTCTGCTCAAGGGACACGCTCGAAAACTCGCCCCCAAGTTCATAGGGCCTTATCGCATTCTCAACGACTACAAAAACAACTCGTACCTACTGGACCTCCCCGCGCAGCTCAAGCAGCGCAGTTTACATCCTGCATTCCACACCCACCTCCTTCGTCTCCACGTTCCCAACGACGATCGGTGTTTCCCCGGACATCAGTTAGAACATGTCTCTGATATTGGACACCTAGAGGAGTGGTCAGTATCTTGTATAACTGACCATCAGGGTACTGGCATTGATGCACTATTCGAGGTAGAGTACTCTACGGGAGACAGAATCTGGTCCCCATATCACCAAGTCGCTCGTCTAGAAGCCTTGTCCCAGTATCTAGAGGCACTTGGCGTCCCAGGTGTCACACACCTGCCAAAGAAAATTAGTGCCCAATCAACGGTTATCCCCGTAAGCACTGTAGACTCGTTTTTGGCGGCCCGGCAGTCTGTCTTCAGCACAGTAAACCGAATGATTGATAATTTTGCCTCCGCTCCTCGCTTAGATGACCTAAGGAACACCTATATAACGGACAACCAGGATCACCATTTGCTTCCCTCACACCTCAACGCGACAATGACCTCCAATGCTCTCCCACCCTCCAACGACGAGATGCTTGTCGATAAGCTGTTTGATGGGATCGAGCCCAGCAACCATTTCGATACTCCTAGACCATCTCGGTCTGGTCAAGGACGTCCTGGACGTTATCATAGAGGGAGAGGAGGGTGTCATCATCCTCCTTGGCAGCACGAGCATGACTCTGACGCCCTTGGCGCGTTTACGCATTTCTTTCGTGCTGAAGCACTAGTGATGGCCAGGTCCGGTCCTGAACCACGATTCGAACCCGAACCGTTTCGAACCTGACCGAAGTCCGGTTCAAAGTTCGGGCAATAGGGGGAACCGAACCGTCGGTCCAGTCCACGGTTCGAGGACTTGCAGAATTCTCGAACCTGGTTCGAACAGGTCTGAACAGGTTCGAACCGATTGTCAAGTAATAGATAAGGGATGGTACAAAAATTTCGATCTCCAGACTTACATGGGCCAGGCGCAGTGCGGAGTGCATATCTTGTATGAATAAGTCAGGATCATTGAATATGGCCTCATCTCAAATGAAGAGAGGCTCGGACTAGGCACAAAAGGAGGACTATATAGGTAATTAGAATGAGAAATATCATGCGTCAGCAAATACTAATATTGAGCTCAGTCTTCGAATTGAGGGACTGAGGAGAGTTTGTTGCGGAGATGCCAGGATAATCAGAGTGATTGTGTATGTAAAGTAAAATATGTACGACAAATGTGTTTTGATACAAGATACCTAATAACATGTCCCTTTCGATTACCTTATCCTCTCATGTCCGTCCCGCTGAAACCCAAACTACACCCAATCAGAAGCTTTTGAACGGAGACTAATCCAGTCCTGGAGCTGATAGTCCGCTCACAGCGGGAGACAGCATCCGCCATGGAGGCGCCCCTCCTCCCAGCATCCCACCGCCCAGCATAGAGGAAATCATAGCTCCCAATGGATTATCAGGCTGAGTGCGTGGCAGAGGAATTGCAAAGTACAACGTTGCTATCTCCTGTAGGGTCTAAACGGTGCGGTTTGTCTTTAGAAAATCAAGCAAGCAATAATCATTTGACTCACCGTCCGAACCTCCCTGGTCGCTAAGACACCACCTTTAGATCATGAGACCTATGTTTGGATGCAGTTGGAACACGACCACATTCTCCCTCTCGAGGGCGTGACTGTCGCTGAAGAATTCGGGCTACTTCCAGCATTAGTGTCTTCATGGATGGAAGAAGGATCGCTGAATGATTACTTGAAGTGCAAATTTTCCGAACTGTCTGAGCCTGGAAAACGAGAGCTTGTAAGTGCTAAATGACTAATGCACTAGCTTGGACTTAGCCATGATTTCAGGTATGGCAGGTAACTGCTGGTATTAGTTACCGTGAGTTCCGTTGTTGACAGATGTAGTGATCGCATCGTATACTAAAGGCTATTCACTTAGTGCATGGCAAGGGTATCGTGCATGGCGACTTGACAGCGGTAGGGTCCAAAAGGAACAGCGTCAAATCTGTTCCGCTTCCCTGCTGGCTAACTTTCAGGAGTTCTCTTGCACTCTGGAAGAGCACATCGATGGCAGTGTCGTACTGCCCAGACTTGCTGTACCGTGAAGCGAAGGTGCGTGCTTTCTGGTGCGCTTCGTAGGGCTGCCCAGACGCGACAAGCGGTAGGATCGCATTCAGGGCGCGAGAAGATGAACCGGATTGTATATGAAGTTTGACATTTTTTGGGTCCGGTTCTCAGTTCAAACCCTTGCTGAACCGGAACCGGACCATTATCGGACCGAACCAATGGTCCGGTCCACGGTTCTGCTTACTGAGAGAACTGAACCGATGGTCCGGTCCACGGTTCTCTGAATTTCCTAGAGAACCAGACCAAACCGGACCTGTCCATCACTATGAAGCACAGGCTAGTAAGCGCCCTCAACAAGTCAATATGGACTCTTTTGCTTACTCTACCCACTGTCCTATAGAGGAACTTGCTACTCGCAAGGAGTCACACGCCTTCGACCAGCTCGTACGTGCCAAACATGCTGAACGCTCTTGCGACAGTAATTGGTACTATCCTCGCAATCGTAACCTAACGCTAGATCATCGTCGTCCCTCTCGACGATCTGTTTCCCCCGAGAGGCCTATTCGGCAACAAGCCCGCGCACAGTCCCAGCCTAGTCATCCTCCTCGTACTCGGACTACGCCTGGCCCACGTCCCGTCCCTAGAACTGCAGCCCAGGTCATTGCTGAAGTGACCAGTAACGCTGAAGCCATACTCACCCCAGCCCCTACCCCGGCTGCCCCAGTAATTGACCCCGGATGGGATGTTGAGGAAATAATTGCAGCTGCCGAGCAGCTTGACCTCGAGCAAGTTGGTAGAATGCCCGGAGTGACTACCAAGGACGTCTTTGGTAGACTTGTCCCTATCGTTCTTCTTATAACCAACCTGCTCATCTTGCTCATCCTGTTAGCCGCCTTCGCCTCCTTGGGTCCGTCCAGGGAGACCTAAGGAACTCGCATCACCTGAAGAAAGGTCCCCTCGTTTAGAGGACCTGGAGGGCATATGTAACGCTCATAAAAAGCCATCATCGACTCATTCATGATGGCAACCAATATTCACCTTCATCATTCCCTCTAGTTACTTATATACACTCGTTCTGTCAGTTTCTATAGCATTCTTACTCTACAGTATATAAACCGACGTATATCTACTGTTAGAGTAGTTGATCTTTCACCCCCGAATATCACTTTAGTTCGGACAGTTACCCTGCTCGAGTTCTAAGTCTATTCAGCCTTTTCAACTCTCACATGTGAACGTTCTACGAACGCCACAGATTACTTCATCAAGGGTGTCAAGATTGATAGAAACACCACCACACTCTCCAGCGTCATCAACCAAATCCTCGAGGAGAAACACTGTTCTTCTCGACCCGATGCTCAGTCCGAATCTGCGCGAACAGAATCCGCTCTTGCAGCTAGGGAGAAATCTGCTCGAGTAGCTGGTACGAAATTCTGCCGCAACTGTAAGCACACTGGGCACGAACTCCAAGACTGCTGGGCACCTGGTGGTGGTAAAGAGGGTCAGGGCCCAAAGAGGAGACCACATAAGAAGAAGGGACGGGAGAGAGCAAATGTAGCTGCTGATGGAGGGGGAGATGAATCTTCGAATGTTGTACTTGAGAAATGTCTCATGGCCCGCGAGGTCACTCTTTCTGCTTACCCCTCGCGTGATGTCATCTCAGTACCATCATTTCCGAAACCTCCACATGCTGAAGACTCCATGTACAGTGCACGTATCACGTCGAGCACAGTACCCATCATAGACTCCGGTGCATCGTCTCATATCTTCTCTGATCATTCAATATTTTCAACATACCAGTCATCATCGGGTAACATCCATGGTTTCGGTGATGGACATTCATCTATCACAGGCCGTGGTGAAGCTCAAGTCCTTGCTGCCTTACCATCAGGCAACTTAGCTCGCCTCAAACTCCTTAATTCTTGCCATGTCCCCAGCTTATCCCTCTCAATTATCTCAGTTCCCCGACTCGATGAGGCAAACTGCTACACTATTTTCGGATATGGCAAATGTATTGCTTTCGAGCTAAAGGATGATGGCGAGCTGATGCGAACTATGGTAGCTAAGTCAAAAAATATTATTCTGACTGCTTCGAAGCACCCCGACCGACTTTACTACCTGGATGTCCTGAAATCACGGTCCGAGACTGCCTATCCTGTTGCCGTCACACCCACTTCTAAGCTAGAACGACTTCACCGTCAGCTGGGGCACCTCAACTATGCCTCAATTCGCTCTCTAGTACGGAAAGGCATGGTGACTGGCATCAAACTCACCCAGGAAGAGCTCAAATTTGAGCCACCTGTTTGTGCTTCATGTGCGCTAGGCAAGATCACGAGAGCCTCGTTCCCACTATCGGAAAGTGGTAGAGCGAGCCAATTTCTTGGCCTCATCCATTCGGATCTATGGGGGCCCGCTCCTGTTCAAACCATCTCAGGCTCCCGTTACATGATCACTTTCACCAACGACTTCTCTTGCTGTGTCTGGGTATACTTCCTATGACAAAAAAGTGATGCTTTTGATGCGTTTAAAGAGTGGAAAACACAGATGGAGAAAGCATCCGGCAAATCTATGATAACTTTTTGTACGGACAATGGTGGCGAGTACTTCTCAAACCTCTGGACAATGTTCATGAAGGATGAGGGTATTCGTTGGGAGTCAACTACGCCACGCACACCAGAGCAGAATGGTGTGTTGGAGAGACTAAATCGCTCCATCATTGACCGTGTCCGTACCATTCTGATCGATGCTGGACTCCCTCTGCACCTATGGGCCAAGGCAGTCAACTACATTGTCTACACCAAAAATCGCCACTCCACTCGCTCACTCGTCGACCTCACCCCATTTGAGAAGCGTTTTGGCACAAAACCCAGCGTGTCCTGTCTCCACCGCTTTGGGTGTGTCGCTTACGTCCTTGATGACAGCCCCAGTTGTCGTAAGCTCGATCCGAAAGGCAAACGCACACTATTTGTGGGCTATTCCGAGACACAAAAAGGCTGGAGAATATATCTTCCAGACAAGAGATCAATCCAGGTGTCAGCACACATCAAATTCAATGAAGATGCAGACCTCCGTGACAGTTTCCTGGCTGAGGGGGAGTACCAATTCTCATACAACTCTCTCAAGTCTTCTTCCCTCGACCTTGAAGACGACTCTGCCACCCAGGCACCTGCACCACCTGTTCTCAATACTCCACCTATGGAGCCACCACCTCCGGATGTCCAAAATCATCCTCCGCACCCGCAACCTCGCCCTCCTCGTATTGCTAGACCTCTACCACCACCTCGAGCTCCATCCACTCGCACTGCTGCTGCCGAGGCCCGGACAAAAATTACCAAGGCCTCTGCACGACTCCAGAAGGATTCAGACAAGGATACAGACTCAGCAAGCAAGGCTGAGGTACTCGAGTCGTGAAGCGATCAATACAAAATGGGTCTATCGCATCAAACATGACACTACTGGAAAAATTGACCGGTACAAAGCTCGTCTTGTTGCCCATGGATTTACCCAGAAACCAGGCATTGATTTTGACGAAACTTTTGCTCCTGTAGCAAAAATCGAGTCAATTCGACTGCTCTGTGCCCTAGCCGCTACTCTTGATTGGGAAATTCATGTCATTGACATCGACTCCACCTTTTTGAATAGCGAGATGCCCCAAGACCAGCCGGCATATGTCAAACAGCCGACCGGTTACGAAGCCAAAGGCAAGGAGCACTTGGTATGGTTATTACTGAAGGCACTCTATGGTCTCAAGCAGTCTGGATACCTGTGGTATAACAAACTGAAGTCCATTTTAACCCAGCTCGGGTTTAGAGTGAGCCTCGCCGATCCCTGTGTCTTCTATCATTCCCGTTCAACTGGCATCTCCATCATTGCTTCCCATGTCGACGATCTTGGCCTCTACTGCTCGTCTACCTCAGAACTCTGTTGCCTGAAAGACGAGGTCAGTCAACACTTCTCATTCAAGGACCAGGGAGAGATTTCCCACATCCTCAGTATTGAAGTCCTCCGCGATCGTTCCGCACACACAATCTCCTTCTCGCACCGCCGCTACATTGACTCCATGCTCAAAATTTGTGGTCTTGAGGACGCAAATCCTGTTCGCACCCCTGCCGTATCAGGTACCAATCTCAGCCTTGCAGATTGCCCTGCATCCATCGAGGAGAAACAATACATGCTGAAAGTGCCATATCAGAATGCTGTCGGTGCACTTAATCACTGCGCCATCATGACTCGTCCGGATATCTCGCTTGCTGTCCAGAAGGTTGCTCAATTTGCTGCAAACCCTGGGTACAGCCATTGGCTCGCAGTCAAACACATTTTCCGTTACCTCAAAGGCACTCGGGATTTTGTCCTTACAGTTGGTGGGAAGCTCAAGTCCCCAGCTTTTCTCGCATACTGCGACTCCGACTTTGCAAACTCGCCTGACCATGGAAGGTCTGTCTCAGGCTATGCGATTCTACTCGGAAAAGGTGTATTTTCATGGTCCGCAAAAAAGCAAACTGCTACAGCTTTGTCGACTAGTGAAGCTGAGTACTACGCAGGCATTCACGCTGGACGTGAAATCATGTGGCTTCGGGAGCTCACAACCGAAATCGGATTTGCACCTAGCGGCCCGACTTTGCTTCACATGGACAACACATCAACGATTCGTATCATCACAAAACCTGACGAGGTTACTCACCGAACAAAATACATTCGAGTCGCACACCATTGGATCCGCGAATCTGTGCGTGAAGGGAGCATCACCCCACACTACGTAAAGTCAGCGGACAATGTCTCAGACATTTTCACAAAGCCGTTACCTGCAGATGACCATTGGCGTTTAGCGGAACACTTGGGACTACATGAACGAGACATCGTTAGCTGAGGGGGAGTGTTGGAATATCGATGATTACATAATCAGTACATGCACACTCGTTTTCTTCTTTGATATGTTTTCCTCAGTCGTTATACATCCGACTGAGTATGTTCCTACGTTCGTTACATTTAGACATCAGTTACTGATCATACATAGTCTGGCTTTTACCTTTAGGTACAGTACTGTATGAATATCAGTCGTTATACATCCGACTGAGTCTGGCTTTTACCTTTATAATGTACCTCATAACATCCACAGGCTGTTTGTACCTCAGCGACTCTCTCCACAACGCTGAGGTATAGTTCTCGTTTATTCTCCACACCGTCTCTCGCTCATACTGTTTCGAATCTGGACGTGTATCTTAGGTACTGTTCATATAATAGATATCCACAACGCTGAGACATGTATCTTAGTATATCAGTCTTTACTTCCTACAAGGACCATGTTAACATGATGTCTGTAAGCCTAAATCGCAGGTGTAAGAGATATCAAGGTATGGAATCTCGTGAACACAGAGCACAAGACAGAGCATATAACATACAAAGCTAGGAAACTGCCGTGGCATCACGAGTCGCATGAGAGCAGGAGCTTTCCTCTAGCTGTCCTTGTATAAATGTCAGGACTCCGTTGGCTGAAGGCCGTTGTTCCGATTTATCAAGCCAGCACTTCTGCGTGAAATCCCATAGAGTATCGGTGATGGATGAAGTCATTGGTCTGGCAGGCTTTCGGCCTCTGAGTATCTGTACTGTAACTTCATGGTCATCCCGAAATTCGGAATACGGAACCTTTCCTGTGAAGACCTATGAAGAGATTGATGATCGCATTGCATGATGTCAAGATCCACCGACAAACCTGCGATATGATGCACCTGAAAGAATAGATGTCTGATGCCATTTGGGGCGGGTTTATTGACTTCTCATCTTCCGGAACTTCAAAGAGTTCAGGTGCAGCCCATCGCACATTGCTTCTGATGTATGACGTGCCATTGAGTTCGGCACAACAAACGAGAATCCCATGGTCAGCCACAAAGGTGTTTCTGGTCTCATTGATGAGAATGTTGTTCTGAGTCGCGTCAATAATTGTTTTGAAGGAGATATCTGTGGTACTCACGCCGGTGAGATCACCATGTACTATGTTTTCGGAGTGCACTAATATTCACATTAGCTTTGCGCCGAATACTGAGGTTTGACGCATACAGTACTGAAGAGCTGAAGCGACATCTTTGAGCTGTAATAGCAAAGATTAAGATACGAGCAATACCATGAAGAAAGACTCACGATTTGGAGTTTTCGAGGGAGAGTGATTTGCTGGAAATCACGTTGCAGGAGCATGGTAAGTGAGCCATTTTTCATCCATGGGGAGACGATGGCAGGCAGTGGACCAAACCCTTGAGTTATACCCAGCAAAGGTAACAGATTGGCGTGTTTCAGCTTAATATTCCGCTGCAAGTCGTGTGTGAGCCTCCGAAGTGTCATGCATTAGCAAATAAACACGTGGTATTACTAGCGTGTGGAGCCACTCAAACCTCGGTAATTTTTGTCTTGAAGTTATTGTTCGAAATTTCAAGTTGCAGACACTTTACTGCAACCTGGTAGACGGGGAGACAGTATGAGTGCATATTCACAGGTGCAAACCTGAAGGAGCTACCGTGTTTCGAGGGTGCTTATGTATGCACTTCCAGACATCCCCAAAACTGCCTTGAGTGATAGGGTATCGGGATGACTCCTTGCTTATTTGCTCGGTGAGGTCAAGCAGACTATTGATCCGTAGACACTTGGTCAAAATTACACGAAACATAAATTTGCATAAAAAACAAACTCATTCCTTATTTGTGCCGACTTCCAGCTAAGCCCACTGGCAGGGTTGGCAAGCAACAAGCTTAAATTCATTGCCCACTTGTTCAGCCAGGCTTGAAACCGAGCTGCTAACAGGATCATCATATGAAGAGGACAAGTGGCTAGTGAAAGAGTCTGATTGAGACAGCTGATTGAAAATATGGGATAACGTCCCCGTAGCCACCCTATAGTAGGACTCTTAAGGATAAATTCAAATGCAGTGTGCATGTGAATAGCTATTGCCTATCTACCAATGAAGCTTTGATTCGGAAGCGTGAACCGGTGACGGATGCATCGATGAGACCCTTCAGTTCTTCTACTAGATAGTCCCACGAGTTCGCGCACGTCCCTAGAGTTCGCGCATTGGCTCTAGCACACGCAATTCTGCACGGAATCCTTATGTATGTTGTATATAGGTTCCTCCCAACATAATACACATGACCATGTAATTTTTCTGGCAAGAAATGAAGTGGATCTCGTGCCATGGTCAAGTTATAGGTGTTTGAGGCTCATTTTGTGCATAGATGACTCCCTCTAAAGGTCAGATCACCACGGAAAAATCTGGGATGCGATATGATGGTTATACATGATTATAGGATGCTAAAATAAATTTCTCCGGGGCTACATGCTTGTCAGAATCATCTGCTGTGAATGAAATACAGCTCAGACGTGACAATCTATCCAAAGTGTTACAATGAGACTACACATCTAAACTCCGCTGTGCCAAAATGCGGCACTGTTACAATAACATGTAACCGAGAACCCCTCCTACGGAGGTCATCATGACCTTAGCCCCTATCCCACCATATGCACCGTCTTGGAAGACTTACCGACTCAACGGAGACTCGTAGAGACACCTAGAACGGCCTGGATGCCGTTAGATGACCTAGACCAGCCTAGGCTACATCTGCACGGACCTAGATGGTCCTCGACCCGGATCATGAGGAAGCTCTGCCTCATGGTCAGAAGAGAAGCCGCATGCCGCAGCATGCACAGTTAGACTCCAAGGCATGCTTCGCCTTGAGGACAGATAAGAGAGGCATGGTAAGCCTCATGTATAGATAATCGCCCGCATGGCATCAGATAAGATGCCCTTGTATAGACACACTCATACCTACCTACCGAACGTAGTATTGGTCTGTGCACACGGACGACAGTATATAGAGCAGACAGAATCATGTATATTCCCTACTTGATTCTACTAGGTTTTATCCAGAACTTCCTCTGAAAGACAGTCCCAGTCCTTCAGTCTAAGCCGCACCTTAAGGAAAGCCGACGCTACCTTAAGTGGAACCCCCGAACCTCTCATTTGAGAGAAGATCCCCGTCTCTCCAATAGCGAGCCCGCTATCAGATTAGGCAATCCGCCTAGGGAGAGCTCGAACTATCCTAGTCCGTAACAGGCACTGGGCATCCATTCAATCCCCAACATAATCTACATGACGGCGCACCTATTACACACTATCATAACCTTCAACATTATTCTTATCATGATTATTTACCTGCACAAGCTCATTATTCAATTGCACCCTAGTACACACAATGTATCATAGTCAGTTCAATAAGCATGCACGCTTCGCCTTTCAAACAGATCGCTGCAGTAGACTTTCGAACGGTGCGGAATGTGAAATGGCACTGCAGGAGACGTGTGACATGGTGTGACGAAATGCGCGAACTCTAGGGAAAACAGCACTTTTTTGCGCGGTAAGTCTCCGCTGGACTCAACACGTCGATTTTAAAAGAAAAAACTAGCGGGCCTTGTAGTTTCGATGTCAGGCTATTCACCTGTCAAAAAATTATATTTTTATGTGGATGTGTTGTAGAGTTATAGATGTTTTCCCAAAAATGTGCGAACTCTAGTGGACATCTAGTATCTGGTGTGCTTATATCCCTCGTATGAGCGCGCTGCGCGGGGGTTTGCCAAAACGAGATTTCAATCACAGATCCGGCGGTATCGAGAGCCACTTATTAGTACTAGTGGAATGGCAAGATAGGATCATCAAGCTTCAATTCTCAGATCATAGGACGCCTTAATTGGACGCCTGAGGCTGGCGCAAATGTTATCACATATGTGACAATCCACATAAGCCGCAGCTAGGCTATTATGTGGTAAGCGCGATGAATTACGTCTTTCTCAGCAATGACCTTTGACAACATCATTTGCGTCCACAAGTCCCTGTAGGGTTGATGCATTAAGTCTGCTAGGTACTAGTAGTAGGAAATGCATCAACTATGTATATTACAATCTTTGCAATGCATTATTGATGCATTAAAACGTGCTAACTATCAGGCTCAAGTGTGCATAGTACCCTAGTAGCGGCCTGATCCTGATTCCTCCCCCAGCCAATTGTAGTCCCCGGTTACCTTAAGAGACGGTTACTTTAAGTTTCAAGACCGGCAACTTCATCAACTTCATTCATCAATATGGTAATACAAGGTACATAGGTAGAAGCGTCAGGGCATATCAGGGATCGTCAAGTCGGGTAATGGTAGTGCGGCAGCCGGATTACCCAGTGTGTCTTGGGGAGACATGAGCGGTGCCCATATGCTGTGGAAATGGGCAGCGAGGCGCCGGCGAATATTAGCTTGCCGAGAAGCATAGGCACGCAAACTTTCATCCCGGGCAGCAGCCTCACGATGGGCAGCAGTTCCTGGTTCTTCTGCATTGCATGGGGCTGACTCGCTGACCCGGCGGACTCCCTGTCCTTCCCACCAGTTTGCCTGCCAATTGAAAAATTGCAGGACCCGGCGCATCTCCTCCTGGAGAAGGTCGACCTCTTCACTCCAACGAAGCGCTCGTGCACGAGATTTGCACCATTCCACACGAACACCTGGCAAACGGCAAGCTTAATCTTGCCGAAATAAAATAAAAACCAAAACCTTACCGTCGACATCTCCTCCAGCTGCACCGCTGTCCACACCGTCCATCATCCAAATCCACGTTAACTTTCGCCTTCCCTCTCCCTGACTGGCAAATGGATCAATAAGCGGCTTCACATCGTCATCGGAGAGGTCCTGTAGCCGCCCATGCCAATCTGCTTTCTTAAGAATTGGTGCGAGAGATTTGAGTGCGGTCCATGCAGTCCTATAGCGCTTCACGCAGGCCACCTGCCTCGTATGTATACGTGTGAGTGCATTCTGAGCACGAGTATTGGCCCCTTGGCCTCGAATCCATTCCCTCTTGAAATTTAGGAGTGAGCAGTATACACGGAGGCACTGCCTAAGCTCTTCTAAGGCATCATGAGCTTGCGCGAAATGCAGCTCCCACTCGATATGCTGGAGGCGTGAATCACAAGCGTTACTGTTCAATGCAGATGGGAGCCAAAGCTTCATAAGCTCAGTATCATTGAGACTACCAGTTGCTGAGGTGGCCAGGAGTACTTGCACCGATGGCACATACAGAAGTTGAGTCTGTCTCCAAGACTCGATCTTCCGACGAAGAGACATCCTCATGCGAAGAATACTCAGCTTCTGTCTATCCGTGGCATGGATGCCCATGCCGTCGGCTATGGCCTTCAAGCGCCGCCTTGTAGAGCTGTTTAGCATGGTGAAGAAGACATGTACTAATCACTCACTGTTCTTCTTCGAGGTCTATGCCTGATGCGATGAGCACACTTGGCGATACATCAGGGTGAAGTGATAGATCTACACCACGCTTGAGCTCCTCAGCCTCGAGTTGGGCCAAACTCAAGCGAGCACCGGCTTGTGTAATTGCTGGTCGATATCTTAAGTAAGGTATACCAAAGAGATTGAACTGAACTTACCGATGCCTTTCGGTTGTAAGGGGTTGGCGACTGTCGTATCGTTCGGATTTTCTTCCCATGCCTCCATTTCAGCCTTCCATGCGAAGCGGTGTTCAGAAGTGATCACGCTGTCAAACTCCTCGAAGGCAGCACCATGGTCAGCCTTTTCTATCTGAGCTTCTTTGATCTTGAGTAAAAGTAACGATCCTAGAAAATCTCGATCAATTTTCACGTATGTAGTACTGCACAATTAAAGCTCACCGAGTCCAACTACTTTCTTCCAATTCCAGTCGCCGAAATGATCGTCTAGCGTGTCCCGACGACAGCCTGGACCCATAGCCTTCGTGCTTGAAGCTACAGGGTTGATATTCGACCAGCCTCTCTCTGGTGCCTCGCCATCCGTGCGCCCCACAAAGCGAGTGAAAAAATAGTTTGGCACTTAGAGACATGTGCAGGGAGATGGAACTTCGGCACAAAGAATCGGATTGTCCTCGCAAGATAATTCAAGTGATGGGAAGGCGGCAAAGATACCATGCGTGACCAAAGAAACTTGTGCCACTGACAAGCAATGTCATATGACACATTCAAGATATCTACGGTTGAATGTCGTAGAGTGGAGAAAAAAAGGTAGTCCATGTTCAGATACCTGATTGTGTTTGTTAGATCGGATTACAAAAACAGTGATAAAAGACCTACTTTTCTCCCTTTTGAAGGTCACCGACTCCATTGGGACGCTTCATATTATGACGCGCACAATCCACAGTACCTACTCCTGTTGCCGCAAGACCTTGAGATAACTTAGTTTCTGCCATATTCACGGCATTATGGCTCGAACATGTGCTTTTCTGTCAATTAGAACATCAGCCAGCATTTTGACACAAGCAGCGGACAAACGTACCTCTTGTACGTCTCCAGCCCTATCTGATATATATGACTTGTAAGATGTCTCCTCTACAAAATAAGCCCAACCTCGCGAAAGGCTGGGATCGGTCTCATCGGATGACACAGCACGTCTTTTCAGACGAAAGTTCGCATCAATCGCCAGAAAAAGACTATATAGCCAACTGGTACACGATCAGTGCTCACGACCATCTTGTAATATACATCGCACTCACCCTTTCGCCTTTGGAGCATCTTCCCAATTGTGTGGGAGATTTTTTCCGGGCTGCGGACATGCAGGGCACAGCACAGCGCACTGACCCTCTGAAGTACCCGCCACACCACTTGGATCATGGCCACGCCCTGAGCGTTTTAACATCACCAAGTGACGCCATTCACGGACCATGCGCATGAAAGATTCATAACGATCCTGAATCGACAGTGTGAACTGAAAAATTCAAGTACAGTAAGATTAAACATTACCTTTCGTCTGATCAAGCCTGTGTTGTCCGTTAAACGAACCAGCGAATGATAAAATTCGTAAGCAGAGGCCTTTGACTCGAAGGACAAGATATGATAGTGATGAAGAACCCGAAATGTAGCAGCCGTTCGTGGATTAGTAGAAGTCGACGGAAACCAGCCAGCACGTAGTAGTTGCTTGGTATGTGTCTGAGAGGTCATGCAGCCACAGAAGTCCAGCCCAATCTCGTGTATGCCATTTGCGTCAATAAGAACAAAATCATTGTTAAATGCTCTCCTTGGAAGAATACAGGATTCGCCGATTGCATGACCCAGTTGTATGCGAAGACCCATGGCTTTCAATGAAAGACGCTCAAAAAATTGACCATTCCATTCCTAGGAAGTTAATGAGTGATCAGGGCTTTCACGATTGAGAAATTAAATTGACCTCTATACGATGGGTAGGCAACTGTAAGTGGTTCTGGACGATACAGAGACCACAGTATAATTGTGAATCTAGACAGTCTTGACACCGATATCGAGGAGGAGTAGATTTCAGACATGGACATCCGGGACATGCATCAGAAATGTGATCTCCACGTCCCTCGTGCCGCAGCAGTTCTGCTAGAAAAAGATCACGCTCGTCCATCCATATCAGAAGGGGGTTGTCCTAATGTCTCGTTTAATGGAAACACATAGTTATCACCAAATTAAACATACCGCAGCTGTTCGCTTGCGCCTCAGTGGATTCTCATCTGATAGTACAAATATATCTGATTCCAGGCTATCATGGCAAAAATCAGAGAAATCCTCTCCTGGAACAGCAGATTGGCTGTCAGGTTCATAAGATGGCGATGTGGACACAGATCCCCGGATTTGCTGTGTAGAGACCTCTAGAATACCGTCTCGGCGAGAGGAAAACGTGACAGATGGGTGAATTGGTGCTCGGGAATGCTGGTTGGGTGGCGTATAGTGGTTTAGTCGAGCTCGCTTTCGGCCTGGCATGTGAATGGTATGAGAGGAAGGACCCGATGATTTATTGTTGACAAGGCTAGTATTGGCCGGCATTCCAACCGAGGTTGGCTTCAATCTGAGGCTGTGGGAATTAACACAAGGTAATATTTTGTTGAAAATCACAAGGCCCTGTCACACGTGACAAATTACAATGTTCATGAGCCTGCGGCGTCCACTTAGAGAGAAACTTTGGCACTATGCTCGACGATGTCGAGATAGAGGTTTTGAACAATCAAGATGCAAATTAGGCTGACAACGACAACAAAACTGTACAGAACAACTACACAACATAAGAGAATCCCCAAGGTTCCACCATCTCGACTATGCCCTGATCAATTGCCTCCCTAACCCGCTGCTCCCCAATCACGACAGATTCTACTTCATGATAAGCAGGTTCGTTGACACCCAGAACACAGTTCAATGTGTTCTCCCTAGTTGTGCTAATAAGTATAAAACAATATCTGCAAATAAAAAAGTACAAACCAGCCTGCCATGACGCCAATGTAGGAACCACAAACAACATAGAAGAGCGACTGCCCATCTTTGACTTCGGCTAAAATAGTGTTAGTGACATTTAGCGACATTCGAAGTACAGGTTTCAGCCCACCTGGCATATTGTAATAGACGCCCTTGTAACAATGAAGAAGAGACTCATCCGCTATCAATCGCACTACAGCCTGGTAATGTAAGCTGTGTTTGTGGACGGTGCTGACGTCTGGTGCCGCTGTGGAGACTGCGTGATTGACGTAGACATAAGATGAGCTGTGCACACTTTCAATGAAGAATGGTATCTTGAATGACATGATCGTTAGTGTAATAGGAACTAAAGAGAATTACACACCGCAAACGAGACGACATAAAGAACGGGGAAAGACTCAACAAAGTCATACAGTGCAATTGAGTTGCTGAAAAGGAAATGTGGTGTCAGTCATAAGCGTGAAACGTAGTAGTCTTGCTGCAAAAGGTGGAGTTGCGCTGGCGAGAAGCTCGCATGCTCGACTATTATGTAAATTACACACCAAACTTGACCAAACAACGGCAATTCTGCCGTTGTTTGCGGCAAGTCAGTTTGGTGTGTAATTTACATAATAGTCGAGCATGCGAGCTTCTCGCCAGCGCAACTCCACCTTTTGCAGCAAGACTACTACGTTTCACGCTTATGACTGACACCACATTTCCTTTTCAGCAACTCAATTGCACTGTATGACTTTGTTGAGTCTTTCCCCGTTCTTTATGTCGTCTCGTTTGCGGTGTGTAATTTCCATAATAGTCGAGCGCACATCTTACTAATTATGGATTATGGTCCTACTATGGCCCTACTGCATATGATATTATTTTGCTGTTTCTCGTTCACTTGAATGAATGTTGGTCAAGGAGGACCACAATATTCTACACAAGGTATTTGGCTGTTTCGTTGGAATATTTAGTTAAACGGTTAGATATTCATTGATGTACTCATATTGTCCAATTAATTATGGTCCGACCAACTATATCGGTCCAACCATGCAGTTTGCAATTGTAACTCACAAGCTATAGTCGAATTTATTCTCTATATTTCGCAGCTAAGGATCACCGTGATTTATAGAACAATATATACTGACGTGTTGACCTGCATATGAGTCACTATGCACTCAGTTCTGCATCCAACCAGCACTAGATGGCATCACTCGCTCACATGGATGCTAATGAATGCTAACACATGCTCAGTGACAACTCAAATCTAGGGGTCCTCATGGATCCCATTTAACGCTAGGTAAGTCTACAATGGTATTTACCCCCAAAAAAACACTGGGATGATGTATATACTACTCCTAGGTATCTTCAGACCATTCCGTCTGAGATTCCAAGTCTCTCTCGGACTTACCATCTTACCATTATGTTTTATGGTACAACCGTCTGCATAAGTGCTTCCGCTTCCTTCACCAATCAAAGACTCATTGTTTGGGTCCAAATACTGTAGGGGTCTATTTTTTTTTCTTCATTCTTTTGCTCCTCACAACACAACATTACTTTTGCAGTCATTCCGTTCTCACTATGGTGCGCCCAACATTGTACAAAACTCATCAGGAGAGAGTGCAAGCTGCAAGAGAAAAGTGTCGTCGCCATTATCAAAAGTAAGTGATCAAACGACAGTATCTAAGGACTCTAGTTGACCAAAAGACTCCCCAGGTTTCGAGACACTATACTGGCCAAGCGACGTGAGTCACGCAAAGCAAAAAAATCCTGTCAAGACAATGAACCTTCAGACGATGAAGATGAACCAATGTGCGTACTGTATAGACTTACTTGTATTAAGGCATCTGACGTTTGCACCAGCGAAACCTTACAGGAGTGCATTGCCGTAGTTAAGTACGCCAAGGACGACTTCATGGCCTATATGAAAGTTCCACGAAGATTCTTCGACCTCCTCGTCGATGAATACTCCAAGACAATGCCCGACCCTGAGTTATACCCTACCGAGAATGGAGATAAGTCTGTATTTGAACGCGCTATCACAAACCTGGAAGAATTTCTCCACCGAGCCAACCGTGGGCTTGATGGTATTCTTCAGATGTGTGGCGTGAGTGATGAGTGGCGCGCTGCAGATAGTGTCTGCAGGTTCATGAGGGAGATGATAGGGATGGTTGAAGACATCTTGTTGCATCTGGCGGATGGCGGCAACAGCGAACTAGCGATTGCTTTCACGGGAAACGAATTATGGTACCAGGAGTACAAATTTCCCACTAGCGCTTAGTTAGTACCTGCCCTGTAGAGTCAGAACTTCTATCTTTGTTTGTGAAACCTCCAGAATACAATTAGCGGCGACAGTTTGAAGTGTGGTGTGGCTATATGCAGATCTATTTGCGAAGACATGTCCAGGCTCGGCTCTGTGATTCACAGCGGTATCCCAGAGCTTGTTGCTTTCTTCTCGCTATGTCCATGTCGCAGATGGCAGTCCTCACGCGTGCCCAACGCGACATGCTTAAAACATTTTTGCCTGCTTTTAAAATTGTTTGTTCAGGGTCAGTAGAAGAGCAGGAAGAATTCTGGGAGAGTGTTTACTCCCAGTGGTTCGCAACTTGGCCTGAACGTGCTGTGCAGTTTGTGGAGATACCGCACGACCAAGCATTGTCTGGCCTGCAGCAGGAATTGCTCGTTGAAGCCACTAGGTGCCGTCATCGAGTACGTCGTTACTCATTTCATCTGAAGGGGGTATGTATTGACTGTAGGAGAAGCGCATCCAGACTTTTATACTCATGAACATGTTGTACCAGGAGACACGTGTGACGATGAAGGAGTACTTTCCTGTGAAGAAGTCGAGAAGGTGGCTGAGCTAGACGAGGTAGTATTCTGTGTATGTGGGATTCAGGTGTCATCATATGTGTAATGTAGCATAGATATTGAGAACTTGCCTTGCGCGCATAAATCAGACGAATTGGTGAAATCCTAGGCACGTATATTATCAATAGGAACCGGTCTGAAGAAGTTGAAGATCACCGTGCTTGAATCTTGTCTCTCGTGGCCTACCCAAGATTGACCGCTGTACCCGTGAAAGTGCGCTGGCAAGCATTTCTTTCATTTTGGTAAACTCACCCTGCTACAGCTTGTTTCAGATGGCGGGTAAGAAATGGGCTACTCCAGAACAAGAGGAGTTTCTCCTCAGCTTCATGTCTGAATACCGCGAGACTGCCGCGACCAAGGACTATGACGATTTTTTCACGCGCATCTGGGCTTTATGGTTTGAAAGGTGGCCTGAGGAACACATTATCTTCAAAGACATGCCAGACGATTATGTTCGCACCCCGGATGGCATCAAGGCTCTGGCGACCGCAGTTGCGACACGTCAGCAAGTAAGACACATGCGCAAAAATTGAATAAAACATGTACTGATTAATTTGACAGCAATTGGTCACTTGGTATAGGTGGCAGATGAACCCTGCACGTCATGCTCGCTCCAAAGGCGCCAGGGGTGTCCTGAAGTTCGATACCATCTTAGGTGGGGGCGTGGAACTCAAAGGGACACGAGCACCACAAAAAATCGATATTTACTCACACGAATTCTATGGAGTGAAGGTTAAGCACACTGCAGATGATGCAATCGCAGCAGAAAATATCACCAATAGAGGTCCGAAGCTGAACAAACGACGTGAGATTACACGGCGAATGTACTTGGAGGAAAGTGAGTCTGTCAAAGCGGATATCGATAGGAAATATCGCAAGGCAAAAGCAAAGTTTGCAAAAAAGCGCCAGCAGCTGAAGTCTGGGAAGGCATTAAAAATTGATGATGCCACAAAAGTGAAGTACGTACTGTTATTCGATTGTATCTCAGCATCACTGACTTGGATCTTCTGGGTAGAGCTATCCAGCAGCTTGGTCCAATGCTCGACCGCATCCTGAAGTATCTTGCGCATATTACAGGTGGATGGAAATTTACCGTTCTCATGGGGGGTCGTGATCCTGGGACGGGTGAAACATCAGTGTTCAAGTGAGCAACATTTGCAAACACAAGGAATTCAGGCGTACTCATTGTTAATTAAGCTACCACGTTGGCAAACTTCAAAGCGGCACCCAGTTCAATCATGTATACAAAGACTTTGATGGAATGCAGGCTGCCTTCCTAGCGTTCGTGCAAAACACTCTTGGTATGTTTGAATTTTCTAAATACAGAGACACCAGACTTAGCCTTTCCCCCAATCAGCATTCGAGTCTACCCTACCACATGATGAGTCGGCAATGGATGAAGACGACGAGTCGTCGTCGAACTGGGACAGCGATGAAGATTGTAACAATGAGCGGGAAAAGAGTGTCGAGGAGGGTACGAGTCGAGTCATCAAGGATGTCCCATCCTTTGATACAAGCGGCCTGTATCAAATGACTCCGCAACCTGAAGAAATTCTTGGGGATAACATAGTGAGTAATAGCTTATCAATATGCAGCGGAATGTGTTTCATTGCACACATAGAGCGACTCGCATACTGCATGGGGCACCTCTGCCGCTTTTGACCCGATCATAGCGGGCACCATCAATTTTTCTGCCTTCGATCCCCACGCCTTCACCAATATTGTCGACAATCCTAATTTCGATCCTGGTGCCCTCGATAATGCTCGGGGTACGATATCTGACTTGTCTCTCGCCAACCTGACATCTCCAGACAACCGTGATAGTCCATATTTACCTCCGAATCCACAGGTGGAGGTACTTCTTCCGGCTGTTCAATCTGCAAATAGTGAGGAAGAACAGGACAATGATCCACTCCTTGACCAGCCAGAGGTCCGTTCTCATTGTGGAGTGCGTAGACGACGTGTTGAGAGATCTCCGGCTCCTACACTATCTATGGGCTGATCTACATTGCCGGACCCTCCAGCAGCACATGTGCCTCGTCTCCGCACACGCAACAATGTGCCCTTCAACCCACGAGAGCGTGATAATGACATTGGAGTTCCAACACGTCGTGCTCGTCCCGCAGACTCACGGAAGTACATCAATTCTATCACAGGGCAAAGGGTAATCATACTAATAAACACTACAGAAGGGCTCGACACTCTTGAAAGTTGGGAGAGTTTTGTCAATGTCATTCTATATTTTGGTATTATAATCGCACACTGCTTGATTGACTGGTGTAGTAGTGTATATTCTTGTACTGCACCGTATCAAATATTGTATCACACCGACAATTCAATTCATTGTTTTGACCTCAAAAAAACAATTTGACTCCGTGCATAATCAGAAAATTGTCTTAACTATGTACAAAAATATAAATGTGAGATGCATAAGATGAAAAATTGTGGTGGAATGGACTTGGTGAATTCAAAACTGAAAGATTGCGTCAGCGAGGGACTTGGTGAATTCAAAACTCGAAGATTGCGTCATTGATCCCATTGTCCTAATATTACTAAGCCCGAAGGGCTACTCGAAACAGTAAGAGGCTAACTAAGTCGATACTGAGTACGCAGATGCCAAAGTATTAAAGTATGTAAGCAAAAAGGACACCTGGAATAGTAAGAGGCCTACTAAAGTGAAAAATGAGTAGCCGGACACGAGTATGTAAGCAAGGTACTACCAGGAGGAAGTGAGAAGCAAGGAGTATGTAAGCAAGGTCCAACCGGGAGCGGGACAACCCGCTCGATATGGACAGATGTGTGCCAAATATGGACGGCACAGCCCAAATATGTACTGGATGGATGATGCATCACTGTCAGATCCCTGATGCATTAATAATGCATCACAAAACCAGGCTACTTAGCCTGCTGTGATGCATCAATATGACATTATAGCCTGTTGCGTCTCACATGCAGAAGCTCCACCCATCACCCGGACTTCCTAGGAATCGGAGGCTGAGACTGCGAAGCCTACGCTAGGGAAGCTCGGATGGTCTATCGACAACTGATAATATAGAAGGGCAGAATGACGCGGAGCGTGAGGAAGGAGATGGACGGTGCTGATCGGGACAACACTAATTCGCTTCCGGTGGATAAATTTATTGATTTCAGCGCTATGATTTACACCTCTGCCAAAAAAACGTGATTGTAATAAGGAAACGAATGGTGTTTACAGTGTGTTGCAAATGACTTTAGAGTCCCGTTTCCAAAAATTTGCCAATCTTTGTTTGTTCCTTTGTTTTGACGTGTGACTTCTATCACACTTGGTCAATTTTCACGCCGCTGGGAGCTGGCAATGATTCGCAATAGCTGGTGGCAATGGCACCTCTGATCACTTCTGAAATGCGCCAGAATATGGCTATCTGGTGCTACGGGCAACGGAAGACTGTGTCAGAAATATCAAAACTAGCTCAATGTTGTGAAGCAACTGTCTACAATGTCTTGCGAAATCACCGCGAGTATGGCCAACCATCAGCAATATCTCACATTTCCTTTTCGGTCTGATTCATATTATTGCTCTGAAAAAAGTCGCTAAGTAAAAAAAGGAAACCTCTGATATTACTGATTCTACTGATTTCACTTTTTACAAACTTGGTTCAAATCAATATTGTAGTATAAGACGCGAAAGTGAATTAAGTGCGGTAATACATTTTTTTTTGACAAATATGTTAGTATGCGATTGGTAACAATAAAAGATGAATATACTTCGCGCACGGGTCTGGAACAAACAGACACTCTCAGTTGTGCCGCGTGCGCGCAAAGGTAAACGTGTACTACTCGAAGTAAGTAAAGGTGAATATGTGAAACTGTGAGTACCTCACCTCAGCCGTGCATGCGAAGGCCAACATCTGAGGTGCGAACCGCTGAACCAGAGTCTTGTGTGGTGCGATTGGTTAGGTTGGGCTGTCCCTAGAGTGTTAACTCTAGGAGGGACAAAAGTGTGGAAGCCGCTCACCCATATAAGACCGATTAATGTGGCTGGTGTGGATGGCGGAGCTTTGAACGGAAGTTGAATTTCGCACGTTTAGGAATAAGCGTGTCGATGCAACCTTTTTGTTATTCACCAGAAGAATGCTTACTACTCGCGGTGTTACCCGCCTCTCACATCTCAGAAGTTGTTGCCTGCCATTCGCAGACTGTGAGTGTGCTGATCCTCCTTCAAGCTCAAGCCATGCTGATAGTAATACCCACCTCTCGGAAGTTGTTGCCCACCGTTTGCAGACTGTAAGTGTGCCGATTCTCCTTCGAGTTTAAGCCATGCTGATCACAGTCCTTTCCCACCAGTCGCAGGTCTGCAGCTTACCTCCCACTTCACCAGCGAGGCAACAGCGAAAACTTGGATCTGTCAGCATCACGGCGTTTTGTACCATTCAAGTTTTTACTGCCGCCACCTTCATATTGCTCTTCATCGTAGTATTACAGTTGAAGTTTTGTTCACTCGCAATTTCGACTGCTTTGTCTAACAGTATTCGCTCATTTTCTAAATCCTATTTTAATTGACTTTTTGTCGTGTTTCATTACTTCACTTATTGTACTGAATGATCACTTTTTCATCTTACTACCAGAGTGATAAGTGAAATTAAGACGAAAATAAGAGATCGACTGGTCTGAATGGGTGACTTCCCATAGGCAAAATAATGCGGATTATCATATACCGGACTTTGAAAAACATTTTCCAAGTTACGCAATCAGATATTCTGTACGAAAAACCAAACCATAGGCCAACGGAATATATTTTATATCAATATCAAGCATGGCAAAACAAGATAGAGACAGAAGTAATCGACGATGAAGAATCCGCACTCATTGTTGCAGCTACTGTACTGGTGGGAACTGAACTGACTCGACAAGAACGCATTGACAGATGGAGTGTATGCATTGCCAGCGCCGTCATAGTGTAAGTCAACCATGAGTATAGAACTTCAATTTCGGAGTGTAGTGTTAGTGAGAGAAAGGACCCAAACCAACGAATGCTCACTTTGTACTCCTCAAAAATCGACTCTCTTTATGCCAGACAAACTTGTACAACTCTGTACAGGCACCCAGTATGTATACGAGGGATCCGTGAAGTATCAAACGGCGCTGGAGCGGTGGTATCAAACGGTGGACAACAGAAGGTAAGATTATGTCAGCGGATGTGAGTGATCCTGAAAAGGCAAGTCTGAGTTTATTCCCGTTAGAATAATCTGTAGGGGGGGGGGTACCCCCCCCTACAGATTTAAGGTTTATTGAGGGGGGTAGACCCTTGATGAATTTCAAACGGTGACGAAATGTCACCCGGCATCGCGGCACACCTTCCTAATACGTGAAATTATATTCTATTCTACATTATTTTTGCCTACGGGAAGTCACCCAATAAGTCAGTGTTTGCTTATCCAGCGCTCCTACTTATTTGTGCTTATTAAGTCATTTAAGCACATCAAGTAAATGTGAGAATTTCCTGATGCACTGCACTCACCATTTTTGGCACTCCTATGAGACAACAGTCTGATATTGAGGCAGAGAGCAAGAAGGTGCGCATGTATGTTCAAGTTCTTCAATCTCATGCAGTGTTCAAGTGTTTTGCCCTCGCAACTGCTTGACAACCAACATCCACGCTGAGCGCCCGGATCGAGTTCATTTGAAAATGCTCACTTTCGGGGTAATCCATGCAGGAACGGATCTCATTTTGGTATTCCAAACACATGGTTGTGGTATATCTAACATGAATGTCATTGTCATACGTCCACTAAGTTCGCCTCTCACCCATACCAATTCTCTACCGATATGGCTATAGTCTCAGATGATCCCGCTTGGTGGCCGACCATCAATTCAAACCGCACTTTTAGCTATTTTATAGGTTCGTAGAGAGCAGTCAAATTTGATGCTGCCAATGTCTCAATCTAACCTCGACTGCGGTCTCGCAGTTGCCGCCTTCATGGGAGTAACATATGATTGGGGTGAGCATGATGATATCCAAGAACCACAGATTTCTTACAAGTACTTTTAGCACTTACATTTGGACAAGAGGTATGTCGATGCCTACGACCAGAGTAGCCATTTTACTGAGAATAGCTTTATAGGTGGAACTGATCTGGGTGAGTCATGTCTGGTGTCAGAGAAACACACATAACAATTCATTTGATTCCAGAGGCAACGCTGGTTTCTAATGACAGTCATGTATCTCAGCGTATGTACCTTATTTGTCACGGTTGCTATGTTGTGCTGACTTGAAAGTATTTTAGGTGCGCTACCTTGGAATTTTATCTGCTGTGTATGTTCAGAAGGCTACACAATCGGTGTTGTGCTAATTGTCTATCTCTCGTAATCAGCATGTACATGTTGGGTATGTCTCAGTACATTCGTTGTCTTTGCTTCTTCTGACCAATGGCATCCAGGGAGTGTTCCGACCATCTTGCTGTCAGATAAAGTAAGTCTTCTGCACATATCACTGCCATTCCCCTCCAATTAACCGTGGTGCCCTGTAGGAGTGGGTGTGGTCACAAGTCCCTGTAAGGCTGATGCATCAAGTCTGCTAGTTATAGGTGATAGGTAATGCATCAACTATGTACGTTCCCAAGCTTTGCGATGCATTATTGATGCATCAGAACATGCTAATTAGTAGATCTTTAATATGCCTATATATCCACGGTCTGTAGCACCTTCAGTCAATGATTTTTCTTTTTTGGTCCTCGGCAACCAAGAAACCTATGAAGATCTAATCTTCAGTTCGTCGAATCTCTGTTCGCATTGTGCCTTCCACTTCGGCTTCTATTTGGTACCATCCTCGTTCAAATCAAATCTCACTTGAAGCCGCTTGACCGACGACATATCTCAACACGGAATGTTGCAAATTAATTAAGCAGAATGTGTATATTCACAAGCAGGTTTTTGGGGAAACATACTATACGTAGCTACATACAAGGTATTCCTAGCATCAATAAACAATGGCAGGATAATAGGGTAAAATGTGTAACAAATACGAAAAATTTACCCTACAGTGCATACGGTAGCATACCTGTGTGGCATGAGCAGCAAGCGAGGGAGAGCAGCAAGTGGGGGCGGTGAGGGAGAGCAGCAAGCAGAGGCAGTGAGCAGAGGCAGCGAGGGAGAGCAGCAAGCGGAGGCAGCGAGGGAGAGCAGTGAGCGGAGGCAGCGAGGGAGACCTGCACAGCACAAGTAGCAACCGACTGAGGGTAGCAATACCAGTGAGCGAGATCAGCGAGCCAAAGCAGGGAGCGAGGGAGACCGGCAAAGGAGAACATGCATGGCGCAAGCAGTGAGCGAAAGCAGCGAGCGAGGGAGACCAGCAAGGAGGGAGACCAGCAAGGAGGGAGACCAGCAAGTATAAAGAACAAAATGTTTGTGGAACATCATTAGCAATTAACAGATAATAGAATATTGATCACGCACCTTATTGAACAGCTCGTTAATGTATACCTCGACTCCTACCAAGTCCCACTATTAATGAACATAGTAGCTGCATGAAGTCAGAAGAGTGTACTAGTAGCTATATTAGTGTGAAAAACACACCTAGAAAATGTTGAACATGCAAGTTGAACCAAAATGCGGAACTTCAGACCAAACTCGAAATGACTTTGGTCGGACCATAACAGTCGGACATCACTGATATTATATATGCGAAAGGCCAGTACACTTGGAGTTCACTGCAATTGAATCAGTATGTAGGTTAATTATTGTATGTTAGATAAAATTCACATACGTGTGCTAGAATTTTGGAGTGATCATCGAGATGGTTCAAGTTGAGATTCAGGTAATACCTCCAATGGCCGATTCATCCAAATTGAACTCAAACCTGGTAGGACCGAACCCAAATTATGTATGTCACTACTACTAGAGGCTCAATGTTGCTCTAAAATGTAATGCCGACCAAACTTGAAAGTCATTGATAATATTACAAGCATTGAATTGGGCTAGATTATACTATATGATACTAGATCTGATGTTTTATGTTCGAGTTATGGTCCTACCATGAGTAGGACCATAACTCGAACATAAAACATCGAACGACACAAACTGTTTGATTCTTCTTCCTGCCAGTCTCGTCCTGAGTCCTAGACCCTCTAGCAGCGCATGCACCTCGTCTCTGTGTCCATAACAATGGTCCAAACGGAAAACCTTGGTGGAATGGCAGAGTTGGGGACTTATCATTGATAGAACCTGCCCTATTACTAATCTGAAAGGACAGCAAGAGACCTACTAAAATGGATACTGAGTGACTGGGCACCAAAGGATTTGAGTAGGAACGGCAAGAGGCCTACCAAACTGAATATTGAGTAACCGGACGCCGAAGATTAGAGTAGGTAAGCAAGGTACCACCAGGAACAAGGTACTACTGGGAGCAAGGTACTACCGGAAGCAAGGGAGCAAGGTATATATAGGTACAACACACTAAATATGGATGGATGAGTGCTCAGTATGGACGGTGCAGCCCAAATATGTACTGGTTGGATGATGCATAACTGTCAGATCCCTGATGCATTAATGATGCATCACACAATGAGCAAGCTTGATGCATCACAAAACTAGGCTACTTAGCCTGTTTTGATGCATTAAAATGACAGCATTGCCTGGTGTGGTTCCTTGTTAACTTATTGGTTCACTAATGACTGCCGTGCTATGCTGCCACAGATGTGAGTCTGTTCGGAGTGTGCGCTACCCGAAGCTGGTCACTCACTGGATTCGTCAGGCTTAATTTCGTACATGGTATGGGATTGGACAATTGATGTGGCATCTATAATGCTGTGGGGTAAGCTTGTCACTTGCGAGACCTCAGTGATATTGACTTGACTGAAACATGCTGCAAGTCATCATAATCACTCGGTTGTATGCCATGTATCAGCGATCTAGAAAAATCCTGATATTCCTCATTGTCACCTTCCTGGCTGTCAACATTTTTGACAAAGTGGTCACCGTAATGATAACGATGCAAGTTTCAGGAGGTGAGCTCAACTGTGGATGAAAATAAATGTGCATGGGGCTCATTGATGAATACCAGAGGAGTTCATTCTCTCCGGCACTTATCAGTGCGAGGTTGACTATCCAGAAAACATCCTACTTCTTATGTCTGCTAGTTGGATACTCAGCACCGCGTGGGAGGTCCTCACACTATGTCTCGCAATCTGGATTGCGGTCAAACACTTCCGTGAAATGCGACAACATTCAGAAGTAGGAATTTTCGAGGACTGTTTCATAGTGTTGATGAAAACTCACATGATTTACTTTGCGAGGTAAGCTCATGCTGTGATTATTGTTCCTTTTTACCACTGAAGTGTCGGACATGGTAGCTTTGTTGCTGTTTCTTGCTTCGAGCTCATTGGTGATTTCACTCCAGCATTATTAACGGTATGTCAATCTTTCACTTGCCTATGCACGCTACCACAATTTGTCGTTTCTATAGGCCAATTCCCTGGGCACTCAGATTGTCTTTGGGTTTATTCAGATCTTGGGGGTCGTGCAGACGTTTGTGTTGGGACCGCACCTGATCCTTGGTGTTCGAGAATATCACGCTAAGCTCGTTGCCGATGCCGACACAGCGACTGGTATGACCTCGATCGCTTTTCAGGAGCGTGTGCATATATCGACTGGCAGTGGTGTGTGATGGTTGGTGAAGTTACTGGCTATCTTGTACTCTAAAAAAGCAGGGGATTTTACTTTTATTCATTCCCACTTTCGTGATGGTGTTTATTTGGTATTCTGAAGTAGATTTCAAGGAGACATACAAAGTTTTTGTCGTGGTATTCAGTTAGTAATTTGCTATGCATGCTAACAATATTTAACTCAATATCCTAGTTATTTTCTCTGGCGCTAGCTGCCCACCCACACTTGCACCAACCATTGGTCCTCGAATGGGTGCACGAGAGCCAAGTTGAGTGACAGTGCACCGCTTCAGCTTCTCGGCAATCTGTCCTTGAGTCATCTTCTTGCTTCATTAACGTCCCACCCTTGTCCTCTCACCTGACTCATGCCAAATGGCTTACAGAAGATTAGCTGTGTTTAGGATTGTTACTGAAATTTGAAACACTGCTGAGGGGATACATGCGTTCTATTAAGCAAGAGAAGCCACGTGCTGCACAGCCGCTGGACGAAGTAACCCTACTCTCGGCCCTACCTCGTTTCGGGGTAGAATTCCAATCTTCGACTTACAATCTTCAGCCTCAACATTCACCTATTCAGTCCTCTGCAACCACTCCAATCACTCTCAAAGTTTACCTATAGCACCCACTACCCTGGTGGCTTGTTCGTGCTAGTCATACTCCGGCTGATTGTTCTGCTTGGACCGCCTGTCAATATTGTATCACTTCTGCATACCTGAATTTTTCTTCACGGTAATAGCCCCTCCCATGCACATATGTATTCTTACAATGTCCAATACAGCATAGTTCAAAAATCATGCACACGGAACATTCCCTTCTCCGATGCTCTCAATTCCCCCAGAGCACCATACACCACAACCTGGAACACTCTCGGACGCACATTCCAAGTTCAATATCCTCAATCAAAGCCTCAACACCGATGTCATTTTGAAGACATCTTGGTCACATCCACGTAAATGTTTGCCAAGTTGTGCTACGTCCCAGAGGTGATCTCTGCCACCAGCCAGCTACATCGAGAGATTCACCTCTCACTGTCTCGAACTGCCATCACGTCCACAACCCGACATCAAGCAGCTGATGCTCGACTCCTGCATTATCGCTGATGTTGACGCCTGAATGTCCGTTCCTGGGTGCGTTGCTGTCACCATTTTGAACCATGTCGGCTATTTATGTTGGGTGCGCGATTTCCAGACGTTCAAGTGAGCCCCCTGGATTGCTTCGAACTCCCCTGACTCCACAGAGGCGCTGTGTCTCAGTCAAAATCACAATGCTTGAAAGGGTACGTGAATTTCCTGGTAGTGTTTCAGCAACGATCCTAAACATATTTATATTTGTATCCGTATTTCCACCTCGCCGAACGAAAGTGAAAGGCAAGCTCGTCCACAAGCATTAACCAGCTTCAACTTCAAGACTCATTAAGTATCCCTCAAGTCATCAAGCTACACATGGAACGTGCTTCGCGCACCTTGTAATCACCTTGAATAGATCATCATCTGCAAGCCAGTCGATGTGATTCAGGCGAGAAAGCAAAGGTGGGACATTGAATGAGGCGAGCAATGAATTGAGGATGGATTGCTGAGTAACTGAAGCAGTGCGGTGTGAGTCGACTTTTCTTCCACGCGCTGCCCAAGCAATCATGTGAATGATTGTCATCGCACAGAGAAAAGAAAGACAAGTGGTTGATGCAAATGCGGGTGGGCAGCTAGTACCAGGTCGCTGTCGCACGGTTGTCCGATGTGAAACATGGCGCGTTATAACGAGGTCGTAGTTTGCATGATCTTTTTCCTTCTCGACCCTCCTTTCTTGGAGACTCCGTTATTAAGAGCACGCGCTTCTCAATTGTGCCGTGTTCCCATTGACTCAATATTCCTCAGTGTTCGTCAATGTTATCGTGTATCACGGTCATCGACACATCTTCATCGACAACGAAGACCGGGGACTGGCTTTGGTCGAGTACGTAGACGGGGAGGAGATATACTAGTGGCGGGTGCCTGTCCGAGAGTGATTGAAGTTGTAAGCTGCTGTCCATATGGAATACTGCTAGTCCACGGAAATTAGAATTTGCGGCGAGCCGACCATGATTGCAGAGAGTGTGGTGAGGTAGTCGGTCATAGTGCCCAAATCCAACTAATGGAAGATCATGTACGCGGGTGTTCATGTGAGTTGAAAGGATGCGGACAAGCGGCCGCCTGAAAGAGCTAAAGTGAACCTGGGGCATCATCTTGGGAGGTTTTGCGAGATCCGAAATTCAAATGCTTATTGATAGCTGGACAGGCTGTCGCTCCATAACGATGACATGGATCTTGCTGAGCTGGACTCGATCGCACGCATGCGGGAAGTGGGATGAGCCCATGAGCATTTTATTGCTGATAATACTTGGAACAAGATAACAAGATGCCGAGACGCAGTAGAAGGAGCTGAACAACAAGCAGGAGGTTATAAAGGAGAGGGGAAGTGAAATACTACCAACAGCAGAGTAATGACACCCATGAATGATGCTAACTCGCGGGGAAGGACCTCTGGTGATTCATACCAGAGTCCGGTATAGAAATTGATGAGGAGGAGTGCACAAGCGAGCCAACAATGTACATATGTAATGCACTGTTGCAAAAAAAACCCAGGCAATTTGCCTTCGGAGGAGAGAGTCTGCATCAATATTACGTAAACATTACCATAACAAGAAAAGAATTTAAAATTGCGTACAAGCAAACCACCAGGCCCCAAATGGAAAAGACGTTCGAGTTTATACTGGTTAAGCAAGCCGGTGATAAAACCTATATGAATTGCGTTAAAAAAACGGGTATACAAGCATATAGGCACGTACAATAAGCAGCGAGATATAACCCAACTACACTAGCTGGGAGTGCATCAGTCCAAAGTGCCACAGATGGAGGCCATTTTGCAGTCATTAGTGCAAAAATGGCTGCCATAATTGTACCACCGCTAGCCATATACACCAACCGTGTCCGAAGATGTTTCCCCAGTTTCTCGAACGTGGGTCCGTCGGTCCGGGCCGCGTCGAGTTCGTTCCACGACGTGCCTACCACATATAGGCAAACTGGCACAGCCACATATCAGAGATGAGTATTGCATAATATTTCACGTGCTTACCATTGGTGATGGGATCGATGAGACATATGGTGCTACGATGGAATTCGGTTTCTGTCGACATGTCTCTTTGAGATTCAGATGGGAAAGGAGCACTCGTTAAAAAATCAATTGTTTTCACATTTCTTATATACCAGCAGGCATACTTTATCAACATATGACTAATCTTAATTAATAGAACACGATCTACAGTTCTCGATCGAGCTTCTTCCTTAGTATCTCCGCACATCGTATCGCCGAGAATTCAGGACCACGCGTATGATGAAAGTTAGCATCTGGTTCTATTGTGATCATATCGTACGAGACCGGTTCAAGCTCTAGCTGTGCCTCTCTGGCGGCGAGAGAGAATATTGCAATCGTGTCACCCTTTGAATGAGGGTCATTTCTGTTCGACGTGTAGATGAATGTTTCAAGGAAGGATGCGTTGGGTTCGAGTAGCAGAATTTCCGCTGCCAACATGGTATCCGGTATCGGTAATGCAGAAAGTGTGAACAGAGGTAAGACGAGTAGGGGGCACCGGACGCGGCGGGAAGGTATGTACAGCAAGCTTTGAGGTGAGTTCCAGTAGCGTGTAAAGGGTATTTCCTGTTATGACAATCAACAAGGTTTTGAGAGTAGAGGTTAGTGACACACCTCGAGCTGCGATATGTCGTGGGCCACCGCCTGCTTCAAAGTCTATGTGATCGCGAATGGACCACTTGCCATCATTCCGTTTGGTGAGTCTCCAGACCTTGTCTGTACCTAAATCCGGGACAAGGAGCTCTTTCTCCGTTTGGTTCAGTGGATTGAGATGGGGGGTGGGATGAAGACTGACGAGTTTTGTTCCGACCTACATACTCGAACGGCATCGAAAGCGTCCATGGGTGTGGTGAGAGTATGTAAGGGGCGGATGTTGATATGAGGCGTAGCATGAACGTGCAGCATTCCATGTTAGGCGGTGGCGGAATTGATTGGCATGGCCGTTCAAAACATCGAGCGGAGTTTAAACACCGTTCGGAGGTGCTTCTATCCAGGCCATTTTCCTGCGAGCGGCTATATTGGTGATGAAGACCTGGAGAAGCAGCGCTTCTAGAGTCACTAATGAAAACATACCTCTGAATTAGCGTCATCAAACGTTGAAACGTTGATGTATCACACTCCTGTATTCAAGGCGATAGCACGTCAAGAGAAGGCGGGTGTTCACTCAAGTCGTTGACCCCAATACATTCCTTCGTGTCCGAATTGAGTTTGCTATTTGCCATCATGGCAAGAAGGTTGCTGGACTTCTTGCCATGATGGCGAATACCGAACACAGTTGACCCAGGTACTGGACTTCCTTCAAGTTCCTTGCATCTGCCATGTTGCAGCGACCATCATTAATATTACTTGGACGAGATACTCCCCACTTTCTCCATGCCAGATGATGATTCACCACCGCTTGCTATCAATTACCCATCTCGTGATACCGCTAATGCCCGCACTTTATGGCGATTCCCTTCCATCTTCTTCAATATATGTAAGTAATGCCTGTCTTCAAGCTGATCACCGGCTCGTACGCCACCCCCCTAAAGCATTATGGTCATCACGACTACCGCTCCGTCGAAAACCAGGAATAAAACATCAGGATCTTTCCGGGTTGTTGACAGATGGCATGTGTACATCAGAAACTTGCATCGCTTCACCCGAATAAAGACGGAGTTTGCAAGAGTTTGATCTTTTACGCAGTAGACGCTACACTCATCTCCACGCAGAAGCTCAGAAGCTGCACATGCGAGCGCCAACCAGACCTTATAGTGCCTTTTACGATCTTCCGCATCCTGGCCCGCCCTTTGAGTTGTAGTCATCGAGCTTTACATACACTGAAAAGTTAATCTAGAGGTAAGTACTTTGGGAAAATAAAACTGCTTGATTGAATTGGAAGGAGTAAGAAAAGTCAAAGGGACAGGCAATCTAATGGGGTAGACATAGAGACAGGGTACAAACGTGATAACTAGTACTCTACTTCAAGATGTAATCAACATAGAGGAAAAGTTGAGAAATACCATAAGAAAGGTATCCATCAAGAAGACGACCTCTTCTACATGATCTCCTCCAGCTTATACCTTCCTTGGGTGTGGAATTTGAAATACCCATTGAAAAATGCGACATAGGCGTCATATGCCTCAGGACGCGGTCTCAGGAATTCGAGGATACTGTGATGTGCTTGCACAGTTTTCTCGACCAGTTCCCGGAGAGCGGACTGTTTGGTAAGACCACGAGAGGCCGCTACGAGCGACAGGTAGTTTGCGGAGTCACCTTGGATCTCCTCTTTGTAGTATGACAATATATCACTGAATTGTGGCAGGTTAGAAATGTTAACAGAAAATCATCGATTTAATAATCACTTTGTGTGGTTTATGACTATGACCAGATCGAGCATGCATTGAACGTATTCCTGAAGCGGGAGTGTAGAAGGGAAAATGCAGTATGCGTACGCATACGGTATGCCTGATAGCATCCTAGAATAATCGGGGTATGAGGGAGCCTGCGGCGAGATCTATTTACACAAAGGGTTAAAGATCGAAGTTGGCTTTATTGGGGAAATACCATACCCGCATATCTTTGGTCTCATGGTCAAGTAAAAGGGAAGACACATAGTTGAGCCCAGACGTCACGATAAAATTTGACACCGGTGCAGGATAATGGCAAGCGACCTCCCGTATGATTCCATCGAGCGCATGCATAACTGGATGCTCGTGCGGCTGACAATTCGCGAACCGCTCGTTGAAACGGTACACATGCACTAGATCTGTTCCACTGGTCATTGTGTCGTCCATGCAGGTGCATACGACGGTGAAGAGGCAGATCCACATCTTGGTTGGACGGTCCGTGAGGTGGCCGTAAGCGTTAGACGTTATAGCCACGCCAACAGACATGTATGGGAGGATGGCGTCCATCGGATGGCCTCGTTTGGTGGCCTCCTGGCAGCATTCGGAGTACCACGTCTCGTCAAGCGGGACATTCTTATATTGCAATCCACAACGCTGAAGAAATCCGGTGATGGACTGGCGGATGCTTCCTAGAACCTATATTCAACATCAAAATAGGGACATGGAAGGGTATTAAAACACAAGCACGTACTTTGCTATCGAGGGTGGATCACCTCAGGCATTACTTTTCGGAACCAATAATGGTCTTTCAGACCCGGTTTCTATGTTGTGGGAAAGTAGTCTGTGAGACCCACCCTCCCGCCATCTATTAATAACACATCCTCCTAGCGTGCACCGCGCACCTCCAGGAAACCCTCGCGCACCTCCAGAAAACCCTCGCACCCTCCAGAAAACCTTCCCGATCCTCCCAGAGAACCTCTCGTACCCCTCCAGAAAACCCTCCTACCTCTCCCGTGGCTCCAATGCACCGAGCTTGGGAGCCTTACTCCTCCCCGTTTCGCACTGTAAGTTTTTCTCTTCTTTCCCTCACCATGTCTTCCTCGACACCTCGTCACACTCGGAAAGCTCAACTTGCATCGTTTGACCTAGGCTCTCACTTTGAGGAAAGATGAGGACGCGCAAATGAAGATGTGCGTCCAGAGAACGTGTTTGGCTCGTTTAGTAAGCATTTGTTTGAGCCAGCTGGTTGTTCGCAAGCTCACGTCTGGCTCAAATGGCACTCTATTAATAATACATCCTCCTAGCATGCACTGCGCACCTCCAGGAAACCTTCACGTGCATCCAGGAAACCCTCGCGTGCCTCCAGGAAACCCTCACGTGCCTCCAGAAAACCCTCCCAATCCTCCATAAAACCTCTCGTACCCCTCCAGAAAACCCTCCTGCCTCTCCCGTGGCTCCAATGCACCGAGCTTGGGAGCCTTACTCCTCCCCGTTTCGCACTGTAAGTTTTTCTCTTCTTTCCCTCACCATGTCTTCCTCGACGCCTCGTCGCACTCGCAAAGCTCAACTTGCATCTTCTGGCCTAGGCTCTCACTTTGTAAGCCCAAGGAAAGCTCGAGACAAACGGAAAACCCAAACATATGTTGAGCTGCCTGGTGCAGAGATGAAGCGCCGCCGACTTTTAGATGCAATGGAGCGACTTATGAAGTCGCAACATGAGGAACCACACCTGCAGCCATATGTTGAAGCTGCACCACCTGATACTGTGACTACGGAACACATGGATGCTGACAATCTTGTCGAATTCCACTCCGAAGACGTGGATGAACAACCATCTCTGGAGATCTCAATAACGTCTGTCAAACGGCGGATCATACCAGACCAACCCACTAATTCACTGTACAAAAACTGGATTGCACTCATACCAACCCTTGTTGATCCGGTACTCTGGTACTTTGGACGAACACAGGGCAAAGCACTGGAAACTATACATCCAGTCATATCTGCATGCGGGGAGCCTTCGTGTACACCGAAACGGACAACAATGATGTGTTTATTTTTCGATCGTCAGCCCATATCTTGCAGTGTTCAAATTTTTGCTGACATTTATTTAGGCTTTACATCTATAGATGTACTAAGTTGTACCTGCTCGACTCTCCAGCAGGTCCTCGTCCACCATGGTCTATTCCCAACCGCGCCTTCACAGCCTCGGATGGCTGTGTCTGTTGACTTGCTTTCATTCTACCGCGCGTTGTTTGAGCGCTCATGTGACGCGATTAACGCACTCGCATCAGCGCTCAAAAATCATTATTCCCGGCGGGGTTACCAGATGACTGATGCCCAGGTAACAATCAGTTACATACTTATATCACTACTGATTCATTAGTGTTTCAGGGCGAAGTTATACAGGACCCCTTCCGCCGAGGCCTCGGCTATGCCGTCCAATGGTATGACATCCTGCAAGTTGAAGTTGAGCGCCAAGTCGAGATGGTCGTTCAACAACATCGTGATCATATAGCAAAGTTTCAAGTGTCCTCTCGAGTCCCAAATTCGCCTTCGCTCACTCAATGCGCACCCCTTCTAGTGCAACGGTGTCCTGCTTGCTTTGCAGGTATACTCCATGGTAGATCCACAGATGAAGGAGGTGACATCCACGTTGCAATGGACGGTAATTTCCATCACCGTCATCGACGTGCTGCTGGAGACTGTCCAAATTTCTATGACCCTACCTATTTTCTGCCCAAAAGCTTTGTTGACGCAATTGGGCACCATATCGACACTCAACATAAGCGACCCGTGAAGTCTTACGTGCCCCTCATCCCCAACGAAGCTGTTGACCAATGCGAGAATGCTTACGAGGCTGCTGATGGCAAAAAACAGAAGGCCGCTATGGATAGCTTTGACGACACTGGAATCATGGCCCTTATCTGTCGTCATGACATCCCATTATTTTTTGCCAATATAGATTCACCTGGAGAACAGCAGAAGTATTCAGTAGCTTTACTTCACCACTTCTTTTCATTTCTTCCGCCTGAAGCTACTGTCGTAGCTCTTTACGATATCGGCTGTGTTTTGGCACGAACACTCTCCAAGGTACGTTATGATCCTGGCCGGAACTACTTGCTTACACTATTTACAGTATGACATTCTTCCCATAAGTATCACCTCACGCCTTCGATTTGCAACCACTGCAATGCACGCATATGGGCACGAGTGGGCTTGCCAGCTCGTATATAATCCACGAATATGTGTGGGTCTTGGCTTATCCGATGGCGAAGGGACCGAACGCCTTTGGTCTCGCTTAGTTCGATTGATAGGTGTTGAGCGCACTTCTAGTGTATGTACTCTATTATTTTCATTATGAACTAATTCATTTAAAACACTGCTTAGCGCCAACGCCGTTTATGGCTAATCGATCGGCAAGCAGTAGCTATAGCTTCAGAGATGCGAATTGACCTTGGCGACTGGATCAAACGACGCCTCAGACGGGGCATCAAGGAACAAGGTTCGGCAGCCCAAGACGCGCTAGATCGATGTGGGGTTCCCATCGAAGAATTGCAGTCCGAGTGGTTGCAGCAAAGGCATTCTCAGTTATCTATCCGTGCTCATAGGTTTTATACAATTTTAATGGCGTGACTATTACCCAATGATATCGCAAGATGCACCCGCCCGCCTCAAGAAGGAGTTGGACACTGTCCTAGCTCTCCAGGCAGATCTGGACACCTCAGACAAAGCATTGCAAACCGCCAGGACGATGTTGGAGAAAGATATGGCTTCAGATGATACTCTAGAGGCTCTCGAAAGTCTAGAGAGGGGACACGATCGCCTGATGAACAAGGTCGAGGCCCTTTACTCTTCGTTGAACGTTCATGACAGGTTCCCTGAGCTTCATGGCATCAATCTCGAATTTGTTCGCATCCTTCTATTGGCACGCGATCTCAAAATGAACGTTCGTAAACGTGCGATTGCAAGTTTCTTTGAGTGGGATAAACTTGATCGAGCAGTAGGTGGCGTCCAGCAAGCGTTAGGTAAGTTCATGCTCTTTTGTTAGTCAATGATTTATCAGATTCTTTCAGGCACCAAGCTGCATCAACAGACACGCAAAGCAATTTCAAAGCGTCAGCCTGCACTAATGACCGCTATCAGGAGATTCAACTCCTACTGCGAGCGGCTTGATTCATTGTATGACACATCCTGGGGGATTCCACTGCCCGCACCCCTTCCCACCAAACTTGCGGAACTACGTTCTGACCCAGGACTGATGGAGGATGTATGGATTACGCCATCTCTTGGAGAGGTTCCGCGATGGTTAGACGACACATCCATAAGAGATGGTATTCGTGCACTGCTCAAGCGTGACCGGTGTCGAGAGGAGCAGGTTCGGCTGGGCGTTGAGGCCGATAACTTGTGCCGCTTCTTTGGAAATGAGTTGGCGGCGCTTGAACTTGCCCTTCGGTCGCTGAAGAGTGAGTTAATTTTCTTCTCAACTTCCATTTCTCACCCATCATTAGGTGAGCCTTTCGCAGTTCCATTGCAGCAACGGCATGCCAATTTTATCCGCCTTCAAACACGATGGTCAAATTGCTTAGCTTCTTCAGTACGGTTCACTAACGAAGTCAGCAAGGCAGTGGCCATTGCGACCACCCTCTCAGGAGGCTCGCCAAACCTGATGTTTCACTGGATTAATGCCAACACGCTGGTAGTGCCTGATTCTGAGGGTGGCGATGAACTCCCTATCATTGATCCTGACCATTGCCCCCAAGTCGATTCTGAAAAAGCAGCACTTGCCGATGTCCTGGAGGGTGAGATGGGGGCATTGGAGTTAGATGACGATGACTCAACAAATTATGGGCGCGAAGTTAATGCCGTGATTTGCTGGAACCTTCCTGATGTACGTTTATCTTTATTGTTAGGAATTGACACTGACATGTCATAGAATCTCCTTGTGGATGACTTCTGCATTCCATCGCAAGAGCCAGACGTCCTTGACCCTGCTAAAAATTTTGCACGAATACGACCTTCGCACGATGGAATCCCTCGTCTACTGTTTGAGCCGAAAGACATTGGTATACTCAGTTCTCCTACTGCACGCCTCAACGATATATGCATCAACAATTGCGCCATTCTCTTGTGGTGCTCTCAGCTGAACACTTCTGCTACACAATGCGCGATGCTCTCCACTCATGATCTTCCCCGCATTCGTTATAATGCCCCAGACGATATCATCTGGCGCCACACATCGTGGATTCGTTATTGGGAAAAAGACATCTGGGTTCTTCCAATTCATCGTCCGTCAGGCATTGGACACTGGGTGGTGTGCATCATCCAGTTGTCGACCAAAGAACTTTACCTTTTTGATAGCATGGGTGATAGGACGCCTTGGCAAAGTGACGTCAAAGTGAGTTTAATTTTAAAGTGTCCTTTTCATCTGATTGATTGGCACCTGATATGAAAGCATATAATAAGACTAATTGCTCGGTTCATTGCAATTGCGCGTCAACACGGCCATCATGTTCATATTGATCTTGAAGGGTGGGTGGCTCGACCATTGAATGTGAGTTGCATGCTTGGCTTTCTTAACTAGTCTGACACTATGTATTATTTAGATCAAACGTCTTCAGAGTAATGACTTTGATTGTGGCCTATGGGTATTGGCTGCAATATTCGCCGTTGTACGCGGCAGCCACATAACAGGCCTACATGAGCGGGACATGGACAATCTGCGACGCTATATGCGGACTATGGTTCTTGCATTACCAGCTCTCTCGAGTTACAGTAGTACAAGGTCTACATATATGGATTCTTCCCAGTAATCAGTATATTGTCCTCCCTCTGACAATTCAATATCCTTCGCGCTACCCATTGGCGATAGCATTCAGCCATGACCTTGTGTCTTGTGCATGCCTGCAAATTTCTGACACGAGCATGAAGCTCATCCCAACCTGTAACTAACCGCTGACGCACTTCTCGGATCTCCTTCAGAATCTTGGAGATTTCACCCATGCTATACATGGCTGTATGGTGGGTATGTGATTCCCTTTCTGCGAGCAAGTGACGGCCATGCATCACATCCAAGAGGTTTTGCGTGAAACGGTCTTCCTCTGGTGAGTCAGGTGGAGCTGGAGAGTCGTAAGGAGGGGCTTTGTCCCACTGCAAGAGATCGGATTGATCAATCAAGTCGGATCCGGCGAGAGATTGATGAAAAAGATAGGAATCGGGAAGGGAGAAGGTTGAACATCGGATTAGTGAAGATGTTCGAGGATCGTGCGGCAGATCCCCAGATATGATATGAGGCCCACGTCGACCATGACGTTTGGCATATGCACGAGAATTCTGACCTTGTCGAACAATTTTACCTCTGTAAAACATATGATTAACAAAAACAAATGATTGCAAAATACTGACTGTTCTGACCGAGCATATGATGCTTTGTGTCGCCGTGCAGCTGCCGATTTCTCTTCAAATGTGAAGTACTTAGCTTTGCGACCCATAGAGACCAGGCAAGTGGGCAAATGGTCAAAACTGTGTGAAGACCAAACTTGATCTTAAGTTCATATTGCGATGTTATCCTGTTACCCATCAGAACGCAATACAGCCATCAAACACAAAGTTCTGGCCTTTATTTTTGTATTAGCATGATCGGGCGTACCGTGGAAGTCGACGACACCAGTCCAGACAGCTTGGCTGGCAGTCAATCCCTGTCCATTTGTCTTTTAAATTCAGTGCGATTTGTATTTTCAATCTCATTGGCTCACCAATCACTCCCGGTGACTCGGAGAAAGTCCTGCCATACTAGTTAGTATATTTCATATTATGTAAACAGTTGTCACAGTATGACAAATGTCGTAACAGCATGAAAGTTCAACCAACCAATGCTGCTGTACCATCCTCACTATATCATCCCACGATTTTTGCATCTGCTGCAACCTTTTGTGCATGTAGTTCCACCATACTCGCTTAGTAACTAGTAACTACCTTTGGTGTGCTGGGTGGCGAACGGTGTTGAAAGGTGGAGCTCCAATGTGTCCTCTTTAGTCGTGTTGCTTCATGCAGACATTTTCTAACCTCGTTTCCGCAGTGAATCCCATTATCACCCCACAGGAGCCTCAAAAAAGCCTCCCAATAGCCTCAAGAAGGCCTCCCAGTAGCCTCTATGAACCCAGGCGAAACACTTAACCCTCTTGGGCCTACTAACCCGCGCTCATTTACCACTTTTGGTAAGTCATAGCTTTTCGGCGCTACCCAAATTGAAGGAGGCTTCTCCAAACTTAGCATTTCAAAAATTTCCATGGCCTCTTTTCACGTTATCGATCAACTGTACCTACTATTGCACCTTGTCTGTATCCTGTTGCAGAATGACCGCAACCATATCCAAGTCCTCGCAATCTGTTGACGTTGCCACGCAGACAGACGCGCACTCCTTTACTATCACTCGCCTCGTAAGTTCTTAGTCAGTTTCATATGTGGATTCTACTGATTGCTTCTAGCTTGTGGACGCGGCTGTGATGACAGAGGACCCAAAAGTTAGTAGTCTCCAAGTCGATGCCGGATGGAAGACCCTCGATGGCATTCCCTGTATCACGGGTGGCCTAACGGCGCTTGTTGGTAAGGTTTGTTGCATCCTTTTTTCACTGATCTTGACTTTATTTCAGCATCTATCGGTGGCACCCTGCGTGGGCGTACCCAAACCGAATTCCCTTGGAAAACCCTGCCCAAGGAGCTAGCTCGGCTCGGATGTTGCCTCGTCAACTACCCTAACGAGACTTTGATGCCCGGCGAGACTCGACCTACGCTCTCTCGGAGCAAAGGCGTCCATGATCTGACCCTTCCTCATCGTATCAATCTTGTCAATGCGCTCAAGATGGGCACCCTCACCATTCGAGTTGTGACGAATGATGCTGCTCGCACACGCCTTACGATGTCTACGGACCCAGTTATTATTGGAGAAGCACCCTCACATCGATCGATCTACTCCCGTGGGCGACGTGTGTTTGCTAATGGTGACATTGACTGCAAGGGTCCTCGCCGTCTTGCCTCTCCCCCTTCTACACCTCCCACTTCTACACCACCCACTCGTCCTTCTACACCTCCCGCCCGTCCTTCTACACCTCCCACCCGTCCTTCTACACCTCCCGCCCGTCCTTCTACACGTGCCGCTCGTCCTTCTACATGTGCCGCTCGTCCTTCTACATGTGCTGCTCGTCCTGCTACATCCCCTACTCGTCGTCATGTTCAGGTCTTTGTAGAGATATTACGCCCGCCACCCCGGCCAGCTTCTAGGGCAGTCTCCAAAGTAATACCACCATCCACCACTCACACCATATCACGCTTGCCACCCTGTCCAGCTTCTAGAGCGGCCTCCAAAGCAATAACACCATCCATCGCTCACACCACGGATCTTATTCCTCCAATCACTGCCGTCGAGTGGTCTGCATCTTCTTCTGAATATGTTGATGATGAGACTCTAGATGAGGAGTCAGATGCTAGTGAGAGCGATCATCGGCCTGCCAAGCGTCTCAGACGGTATAACAGCAAATAATTGAATATTAATGTTTTCAAATGATGTAGATAGCATGTTAGTACAACAAATCTTTTCGAATTCGTATTTTAATTTCTGACGTGGCAACAGAAGTAGACTCACAGTTTCAACAATGTTATTTTTAGTCACAAGATGATATTCATTTCGCGGCCTTTCTGTAGCCTCTTGGACCTCCACTCGGCATATTTGATATCTCGCTGCTTCTACATACAACCATCCTGAGCGCTTATCTGTGCTTGATCGCTGATGCCTGTGCAGTTCCCGGTGTCTTGGGTCGCACTTATTATTAGTTGTTATCGCTCCAGGTGTTAACATTCGAAATTCAGGATTCAGGAATCTCGTACTCGAGTCGTGATCATCATGATGGGATCCTGCAAATATAGGAGTGCCTGCCGGTAAGTTTCCTGCCTCATCACTCCTTAACTTACTCACAGAATCCCACTAATTTCACTGGTTCTGAACGACATGATTGAACTCATTGTTCGATATTATGTATATTCGCATCATCCTTATGCTCAACATTATCTGTATTTGCTTTGTTCTGAACCCTCTCGTTAGCCTCTCGCGCCTCCTTAGACCCTCACTCACTCTCATGAACTTGTCTGTCTTGGTTGGGTATCTGCCGGTAAGTCTCCTGCTTTCACTTCTTAACGTACTCACAGAATAACACTAGCTTTACTGGTTCTGAACAACACGATCGAACTCATTTCAATGGAACCGCCAGCTCGAATATTTGATTGCAAAGTGAGTCATTTGGCATTATGTATAATGTTATCCTCATTCACTTCATTCTGAACCCTCTTGTTAGCCTGTCGAACTCCTGAGAGCCTCGCTAGAGCCTCACTAGAGCCTCACTCGCACCCTCATGAACTTGTCGGCCTTGGTTACCTATCCGAACAAATTTCAATGTCTTACGTTTGTTTAATTCTGTGCTATTATACCATTCTAACTTGTTTAGTCCGCATCAGCTCAAATCAGCCTCATAAGTATCAGGGCGCTGCTGGTTTTTTTTCGTGCCCCTTCTGATTTCCTATCTGATTTACTCTGTGATATCTTGCGCAAACTGCCCAACAGACAGTCTACAAAAAATTGTGCTCTACTGCATATTGTACAAGTAGGCGTGCTCTCATATATTTCTTTTATCATTGACTACATACTGTAGACATGACCCAAAACATCCCCGATGACCTGTCGTCTCCTCACCCGAGCTACATGGGTCTATCCCCCGATACCTTCGATTACATGCAAGAGCAGTTTGGCGGCGGCCGTCGATGTGCAACGCCCCCTGTTGAGCTGACTCCCTCGCGGCTCAGGAGTAAGCTCAAGGCCACAGCGCGGGACGTCGGCCTTGTCAAAGGTGCATCTACCCGCCGCCAGGCCTATCAAAACCACACTGTGGGAAGTCAAGATCCCATATCTGCGCACCCTGGTGCACCAGACTTACCTCATGTGGTGCCAGGTGGTACTTCAACAAGCGAAACGTCATCGCCAATGGTCCACGCGGCTAGTAGTCGCCATGCCTCACCATTTCCTGCCCCACAGGTTCCTGCACAGCTCCAGGATGTTTTTTTTGGTTCCATGGACCAGCAACGCGCGTGGATAGACTCTAATTCTGACACCTTTAGCATGATGGGGTCTGAGTCTTTTTTAGCTGGAGGATCGCAAAATCAGCTCACCGCACAGGGCATGGAGCGCCTAGCACCTCCACCAAGTTACACTTTTCCTGCGAGTTCTTCGGGTCAACCAATGGCTTCTCGTGGATGCTCACTAGATCCTCATGCTACAGGCCAATACCCTTCTGGCTTTACGGAGGATTTTTCTGGCGAAGCCTCGCCGTTCATCCTTCAGCCAGTTCCATCGTCGTCGTCGTCTCATGATCATTCACTTCCCCTCCCAACCACAAATATCATTCCACCAACGCCATCAAGGATGGTGGCAGCCAGACCAACACCACCACCTCGACAAATACTATTGGTACTTTGCTGAGCGGTTCCAGTTCGCAGATGGACTTAGAAGGCTATCCTTCTGCCTCTCATGAACGCTTTCCCGAGGAGCACGAGCCGGTGACCCATCAAGAAGGACTTACGGTTACTGGACGCAGATCTGCAGAGTTGAATGCAGCACTAGACGTCGGGTTTGCTGCAGTAGAGCGCTGCTTTCTCGAACTATCTGCATCCACCACACTCCCGATTTCTCAATTAATCAACTTGTTCTTGAAGAGTCGCGGACGCACCGTAAACGGCACTAATTATTGGAACCTATATGCCAACTACTTCAAAGAGCATGTCCAGACGGAGCTTGCGCGCATCGGCAGAGAAGCTCCCGCTGGAGGTGGCACACCTAGTAGGTGTCATATTATAACTTGTTGCGCAGGAGGTTAATGTCCCTTATAGGTGTAACCGTGCGGACACAATGTTACGACAAATTCAAAGAGGTTTATTCTGATTCTTACCAAGATATCCTGCTAATGCACGAGGAGGCATCGCTCCTTGGATCTTCACCTCAAACGATAGCCCAGCGTGGACAGGGCTTCCAAAAACATTATCGAAGAGTGATACAGATAGTATGTTTTTTTCACCCGACGTTCTCTCATTCCCTCATGTCGTCATCATAGCTCGAGTCTGCCGCTGTTAAATTTGGCTTTGAAGCGGCTGTCGTTCTCTGCGGCAAAGTGGTCAACGAAGATGGCTCACTTGGCCACTCGTATAATACACCAGGCGCTGTAGGGGTAAGTTTTTTGTGCTCTACATCTTGATGTATGCTTAAAGATACAGTTCTGGGAGACACGATGTCGCGCAAGCGATGATGCCATTGTCGGGCATCTCAAGGCGCATGTATAGTAAGTGTAAAGATAAATTACGTTTATGCTATGACTTACATCGAAACAGTAATAGTACATCTTTGAATGCAGTGGATGATGCGTTCAACGATGGCACTCGCAATGACCCTTCGACCCCAAACTCGACTCCGAACCATGATCGTGACCAATCTCAGGCTCCCGAGGGACGGGATGACGGTTTGAAATGGATCAAACTCGAACTTATCAGACAAGTTGGTACGTTAGAACGTCGCTACTCCTTTTATCTATTTGACCTAAACTACGAATAGCCCAACTTGGGGGCAAGTGCGCCTGGGATAAAAATTTCCCTTGGAAGGGCATGTCCAGCGCCCTTGCTGATGCCAACCTCTGCATCAGAGGCTATCCTGCCCATAAGTGCCTTTTGCCCGGTGAAGCTCACAATGAAAACTCAAGGAACAAGGGCATCGGAGCGCTGACGCAGAAGGAAATTGCAGCGCTCGTAGATGGGTTGAAGGCAGGAACTATGCTAGTCGTCAAAGTTGACAAGGTGCACCGAGGTGAGTTTTGTTTATGTTATACTATGAACTTTCAGGTTTTAACCTCATATGTAGCGGCTGTGATGGCCTCTGAGAGGCCAGTCATCACTGGCATAGCGCCACCACCTGAATGGTCACATGATGGCGCTCGACGGCTATTTGCTAATGGTGATACTGACTATCACGGCCCAGCTCGTCTCCAGCCTAGCGGTGCAGCTACGAAAGTCAAGAAAGCCACTGATAAGGCACCTCAGGCACCTCTTCGACCCTCCAATGATGACGACGACAATGATTTGGGTGACGATCGCCCGGCAGTACCTGCTGCTCCCAAGTTCCGAAAACCTACCATACATTAGACCTACCTCCACCAC